AACTAAAGTAACATAATTGACATGTACACAAAAGTCCACACAACAGCAAAACACATTCCATTCAAGTGCACATGGAATACAGACTGCCCCTGATTTAACAATGGCTCAACTTAAGATTTTTTGACCTCACAGTGGTGCAAAAGCAGCATGTATTCAGTAAAACCCATACCCTGAATTTTCAATTTTGATGTTTTCTTGGGCTAGCAATAGGCAGTATGATACTCTTACATGAAATACTTGACATGTTGTTGTAAGATAGACTTTGTGCTAGATTATTTTGCCCAACTGTTGGCTAATGTAAGCGTCTTGAGCATGCTTAAGGTAGCCTACTAAACTGTGATGATTAGTAGTTTAGGTGTATTACGTGCATTTTCAACTCACAATATTTCAACTTACAATGGGTTTATCTGGACATAACCCCATCATAAGTCAAGGAGCATCTGTATTTACTATGGTAGATCATATCTGAGGCCATAAACATCTCAAAATTTATTTTTAAAGATTCTATAGCATAATAATTCAGTCTTTGTCCTGAGTTCCTAGGTATGGAGTTCCTAAAAGTCATAGAATTTCCCAAACAGTAGGAATGTCTTTGTTATTCATGGGGGGCCCTGACAGAGTACATATGGTGAAAATAGAAAATAATTAGAAGATTGGTGGATTTAAACCATATGATGTGACCCATGGTGGGTCCCTAGATAGCTAATGCTAATAATTTAGAATGGAGGTACCCCACATCAGAAAAACTAACCACATGATTAGGTGTTCAGACTTTGAGCCAGCCTGTTACCCTAGTAGAGAAGGAAAGTTAGGGATTAAGTTCCATCACAAAGATTTACGAGGTCTGACAATTAAGTTCATGAACTCATCCCAGGAAAAGTGCTACATGCCTCACTGTTGAATATCGTCACAGTCACCTTTGAAGCACTCCCCTTGGGAAGCTATGCACCAACACCAGTGGCCTAGCCCACCCATCAAAGCAATTTTTGGAACTCTTTTCCTATAATGGTCATCAGAGTTGTCCTCACAAGAATGTTAGAGTTTGAATTAGATCCACAAACAAACATTACATTTGTTAAACCTGACAAGAGTGCAAATGAAATCAGGGACATGTTAGTCCAAGTTTATGGGCAGAATGTCATGAAGAAATTGGCACTGTACAAATAGATTAAACGTCTTTCTGAGGAGACAGAAAGTATCCCTGATGAGAGGTCAGGATGACCAGTACTGAGCAGAACTGATGAAAAACATTGTGAAAATTCGTTGACTTGTGCATCAAAATCATCAGCTGACTGTGAGAAGCATAGCAGACCAAATAAACTGGAAAATCTTACCTGAAAATCTTGGCATGAAAAAGGCATGTGCAAAAAATGGTCCCAAAGGAGTTCTTGCATTGTGACAAAACACCACTTCACACAGCCCTTTCTGAGGGAATTTTTAGTAAACAACTGTATTGATACATCCTCCCTATTCACTTGATCTGGCCCCAAATGCCTTTTTTCTTTATCCAAAGATAAAGGAAATATTGAAAGGATGACATACAGGACATCAAAGGTAATACAATTATAGCTCTAATGGTTACTTTGGAAAAAGAGTTCCAAAATTGCTTTGATGGATGGACAAAGTGCCAGCATCGGTGCATAGCTTTCTCAGAGAAATACTTCAAAGGTGACCAGAGTGATATTCAGCAATGAGGTGTGTACCTTTTTCTAGAGTGAGTTCGTGAACTTAATTGTCAGCCTTCACAGTAAATCATGGCTGCCACAGTGAAACTCCAAGAAAAATTCTGAACTTCCTGTTTAATATGCTTTATCTCTTGACATAGCTAAACAGCTACATAGTTGTTGCTTACTCATTAGCATGTCCATTTATGTTTAAGCTCTTTTCTATAGATTTCAAAATAGAAGTTTAATGTTGAAAAGAATCCAGATTTGATGGAAGACAAAATCTGCAGATTTAGAAAGAAACTAAATCCCATCATGATAAACCTATAGCTAGACATATAATAAAAATTGCAGATATCCAAAGATAAGAGAATGTCTTTAAAAAATCCAAGAGAAGTCAGTTCTCTATCCAGTTCTAAAAACATAATCTCAGAAAGTAAAAAGAGTTCTACCCAGTAGGACTGTCTGAGACACACACAAAAAAGGTAAGGCTCCTCCATACACCGCCGAAAAAGATAAACATCTGGGCAAACCTTAACAAGCATGGAATGTATAAAATCCGAATAATACCCAATTTGGAGACTCAATAAAGAACTAGAGGAATTTCATTAGAATTAATATATTTCAGCATAGTTTGGAAATTTACCACTTTGAAAAAGATGTTTAAGCATGTTAAATTTTTAAGGGTAATCAAAAGTACTTGTAACAGAATATCCACAGTCCAAATCAGTAGCGGGAAAATATATGAGTGGAAAACTCAATCCAAAAAGACAGGAGGAGATATAAAGGTGGGGAAGCAGCAGAGCACGGAAAAAAGAAAGTACAGAACAAGGTGGCAAAAGTAAATCCAAACAGACTTGTGCTTTGGCACTCCAACAGAACAAACAGGACTCTGCAGCCTTTCGTCCTCGAATGTCCCCTCTGAGAGGACATGGTCAATCTAGCACAGATGTCCCCTCTCAGAGGACACAGAGATTGTGGTGATTATATAGGACAGATTTATGCCAGTGCACGTTTTTAAAAAATGTATGTCTCCTTGAAGTTTTCCATTCAAGTTGCATGAAGAAGCAAAGAGATGGAATATATACCGCAACATATGCACCAAAAAAAAAAAAAATAATAAGCTAGAGACAAAACTTTAGGACAACAGTTAAGTGGGGAGGACTGAAACTTACACAATGGCGTTCAATCTGGATACTTTAAGGGGCCTCAAGTGTGCCAAGGGGTTTGTACCACCCCTCCCAGAGAAGCTGCAAATGCAAAGAGCATCTGAAGGAAAGCATTCACGATTTAGGTCCTTTGGTCTTCTCACAGATTAAAATTACGCCACATACACAAGGAAACAAATCCCAGTGGTACACAACAATTATAATCAGTTTAGACTTAAAGTAATGAAATTATCTAATATAAAATACTTGAGTTAAAAGACAGAAATGGACACGCAAGGGACTGTAATGAATAAACAGGTAGATTTCTAAAAGAATCAAATGAAAAAAACACAACTATTGAAATTAACACCATCATCAATGTTTTTCACTCTTGTTGGGAAAAGATAAAGGATTTCTCCACTACAAATTCTTGTGGGTCTTAAACCATCTAATAACAATTTAATTTTTTTTTAAATTAATGTCTTAAATAGCAAATGAGATGCTGCCCAAAAATAAATTAGTAAACAGAGGTGATGAAATTGCCCCAAATGCATAAAAAGGATGAAAAATATGAACAATTAAGAGATATAAAGGATAGAGTAAGAAAATCTATCATTTGCACAGAATCCTAAAAGACTAGAGAAAAAATATTTGAAGAGCTAGTGGCTGAGAATCTTACAGAACATGAGTTGAAAAATACAGAAAGCCGGCATATGCCAAGAATAAAGAGAAATTCCCACTTGCAAACATTATAGTAAACCTGCAGAACACCAGAGAAAAAAGAATCATAAAAGCAGACAGAAATAAAAATAACCTAGAAAGTTGATTCTGATTCTGAGATCCAAAAAAGGTAAAGACTAACTTAAGGCCACACAAGTAGAACTGTGGCATATCCCCTACATTCTTAATACAGAAAATGTACTTTTAACTACTATTTACTATTTACTTTCTCTTAGTTGGCCAGAACCATTTACTTTCTTACCTATTTTCCTTAAAATCTTTCTTGCTGTACAAGTTCTTGAAATCATTACAAGGAATTGATTTTAATTTTAATGAACTTACAAACGTGATATACTCCTTTTATACGACTGACTACCTTACTGGAATACTACATGTAGAAAATACTACAGTCCTTGATCTAGAACTCTAAATATTTGCATGGTAAACAACTTCTGACATTTTTGCTAAGTTATTTTTTGGTATCTTCAAACTACTATTTAAAATTCCTTGGTGACTAGAAAGTTTTCAAATTCCAAGGAATATAAAATTAAAAGTTCTGACCAGGAAGGAAGTATTTTTAAGGTGTTTTGCTTTGTCTTGAGTCAGAGTCTCTCTATCACCCAGGCTGCAGTGCAGTGCTTACTGCACGGCGACTGCAACCTCGACCTACCGTACTCAGGCTATCCTTCCACCCCAGCCTTCCAAGCAGCTGGAACTACAGGCGCTCACCACCATGTCCAGCTAACTTTTGGATCTATTGTAGAGATGAGGTCTCCCAAAGTGCTGGGATTACAGGCATGAGCTCCCGCAGCAAACCATGAAGCTACTCTTTATTCATATTTGTGTACTTTATTTTTAAAGTCTTTTATTCAGATTATATTTGCAAAGACTATAAATTTGAGACTATGACTCCCCATATCAGTGCTAAAGGGTTCTTTGATGTGTTCTAGAAACATCTTCTATGACTTGCAAGTCTTAAGATGTCTACAATATTATATCCAATTTTTAGTCCAGCAGGCAGAAAGGGAAGGCAATGACAATGCAAGAAAGGAAACTCACCGATTCAGTGTGAATCTGTGGTAGTTATGACATATTTCATTTCGTTTCCAAATGTGAGGAACATACAAAAATACCTGGTCCGTTACTTTTAGACCCTACAAACTGGCTAGGAAATGTACTTCTCCCATTATCTAGAATTCTTATAGGCCCATCACCTGGCATTTTCTGGTATCCAACTTTCCCTTAATCTGTATGGAGAGTTCCTTCTGCCACTGTTCTCTATAACATGTACACTCCTCTCACTCCCAATTTCCCACCCTGGCCCGGACCAAACAGTTCATTCATTCAATATTTACCCTTTGTATGCCAAGTCTTATGGTGGATTCTAGGTGTATGAAGAAGCAGCAGTTGAATATATATTGAATATATATTGCTTTGTTATTTGAAAGTCAACATACTAAGCACAATGTCGTACTTCAGTCGAAGATACCTATATTTTAATAGGTTAGTTGGCAACAGAATTTACTATTTAGCTATGTCTTAATAGACTTTCTTGAGACATTCTGTATTTCACAGAAGTAAAAGTGGTCTTTACTACAGCACAGCAATGATTTGGCTATTTTTAATACAGAAGCATATATACCTACTCCCCTCAATTTACAAAAAATGTATTAGTGTTGACCATGATATTCTTTTTATTGAAAAGCAATATAAAATAGTTTTAGAAATAAAAGGAAGGTAATATTTTACATTATTTCTTGTTATGAATATCTGTATGCTTTGTGCCAGAATTTACTTCCCATGGCTATTCTGCTTTATCTGCAACCCTTTACACTGGATGTCTACATTACTGAGTATCTATCAGTGTTTCACTCAGGAGAGTCTAATAAACTGCTACATGGAGAACAATGGTGCGTCCCTTGCTTATTTATGTACTGTGTGAAAATCTGATCCTGTTCTCTTCCACTCAGTCAACAGTTCCTTTTGTACCTCTTCTGGCAGTTCATAGAAAACTTGAGGATCAATGTCAGAAGGAAAAGTAATTTTCTCCTCAACAGAATCATGCTCTGTATTGTCTGCAAGTCCTTCAAGATGAGAGACTGTTGCTACCGCTTGCTTATTGCTATCTGTAGTGCGGTTTTTAGAAAAAAGTTGCTCACTCTGCAAATTTGGAAATGAATGGAAAACAGTTACAGCAGGGTTTGTATTTGGAAAGTGGAATCCTTGAGGATCTTTAGGTCCTTGACTCACTTGTTCATCTTTTAATCTATTATCTAAATAATATGAATAATCCTTTCGGCTAGACAGGTAAGGAGAACTACTGCTATTTAAGCCTGACGTTCCTGGTTCACAAGGAGATACTGATGATACCTGCTTGCTGTTGCATAAACGATCTCTAGGACCTATGGGATGATCTTGCATTTGTTTTGTAGAAAAGAAAGATAATACTCCTCTAGAGGCATGCAGCGGACAACTCAAACTTCCTTTCCCTTGCAATTTTTCTCTAGATTTTCCATAGAGAATTTCTTCTTGAATGTCTACTGGAAGCTGCTTAAAAACTTCTTGGTCAACACCCTCAGGAAGTGAAGAGAGTGGGGATTCACTAATGTCTTTTTCTTTAGATAAATTTGTAGTATCTAGCGGAGACTCCCCAGTTCTTGTACTTTCAGTCCTTCCACCTGGTAGAACATCCCAGTTTGTTTCTTTGTCTTTGAAAAAGTCTTCGATATGAGTGTCTTTCATTTTCTAGAACACAAGGATAACAGAATAATTTAGATATCTGATAATCTTCTAAAAACTCATGCTGCTGAAGTGGGTCTATAGCTATGATCTGAAAACATGTTGCAATCCAACTCAACAACTTCAATCCTCTGTGGCCAGTTCTAACTAACTAGGGATTCACCCAACTAGCCACACTATTGTGTCCATCTTCACTTCCTATTCCAGGAAGTTTTCCTTCCCAGATAGCACTAAGCCAGAGGCAAGTATGCATTTAGAGACTGGGAAGATCTTAACAATTGTGTCTTCTCTCAATACACATTTTCTCTCTCTCTCTTTTTTTTTTTTTTTTTTTGAGTCAGAGTCTCACTCTGTTGCCCAGGTTGGAGTGCAATGGCACACTCACGGCAACTGCAGCCTCACCCTGCTGGGCTCAGGTGATCCTTCTACCTCAGCTTTCCAAGTAGCTGAACCACAGGCGTGTACCACCGCCCAGCTAACTTTTTGATTTATTGTAGAGACAAGGTCTTCCCAAGTTGCCCAGGCTAGTCTTGAACCTGTGGGCCCAGGCAATCCTCTTGCCTCTGCCTCCCAAAATGCTAGGATTACAGGCTCAGCCACTGTGCCCAGCTTATCTTCTTAGATCACAGGATATTTAAGGCCAGCAATCATAATATGATAGGTACTATAAACAAGTTAATCACCTAAACAGTATCACAATATATTTAAGACCAGTGACTATAAGAGGTACTATAATGACAGGTGTTAAAAACAAATAACTCATTCAAACATCACCAAGAAGAATCTCTAAACTACATCAGTTAAACACAAACTTAGATTTGCAACGTAACCACACAAATCCAGTAAGAGTATACTTAGAAAAACTGCACAAAAAAGAGTGTACTTACAAAACTGCGCTTGCCAGAGCGTGAAGTTGTTGATAACGATGGGGTCAAATAATAATCAATAGGCCCTTTCTTAGTGGTATTCAGGGCTTTAAGGTTGCAGAAGCACACACTTAGAAGGGTCAGGTGAAATGGCATCTTCACATTCACCATGTTTCGAAAAAGCTTCATAAGTATATCAACCATTGGGGTCATCACGTCATAATTTCCTAGATAAAATGTTTAAGAGACAATATCCACACATATTATATCATAATTGATATTAAGAGCTGAATATAACTTACATTGCTGAGATTAAGAAGTTAAAATCTGGAATAAGTATCACTGGGCGTCTTGACATTATATACTAAACTGGGACACTTCAATATTAACACTAAATGACAACGAGGTTAAAAGTTTTCAAAAGACTTGCAATTTGTGACTCCTGGTTGTGGTAAAAGGATATGGTGAGAAGATCCTCTCCCCAAAAAACGACTATAAAACTGAACAAAATTATCAAAAACAACCATTTTGGGAATCTGGAAATGAACTAAATGCAAACACAGTGAGAAGTACTGACTTATAAGAAGCTGCTAGATGTAGGTAAGTGTCGGGGACACAGCAGCCTTACTGGCCAGAACTGTTCAGATGCCCCCTACATAGCTCAGCTTTATAGTAGGTCTAGCAAGATGAGGCTGGATACAAAAGCTGGCAGCCTCACCGTGCCAGGGGGACAGGTCTGATTTGAGGCAGAGGGCAAAAGCCCCCAGCTCAGCAGCATTACTAGTAAAATGAGCAAACTCGGTAGGAAACCAGTGGGGAAATCCTACAGCTCTGCTAGCCTGCAGTTTTAGTCACGGTTAGGGAAGTGAAAGATCAGTGGATCAGCTAGCGATGTACTCAGAAGATCTGGAAGTGAGAGAGCCTTAGGGGGACTCCGTAAGATCCCCCCACGACCATAACTGATGGGAGGCTGCATGCGTAAGGAGGAGAAGCCAGAGAAAGCCCAAGCTCTCTAGTCTCCTGGCTGAAATGGCTACAGGCACACCAGGGAGATTCCAGAGAACCCAGCAGAAAATAAAAGTCCAGGCAGACTTAAAAACAGCCTAAATGTTTCAAGTGCTCTCCATCTTGTGCACCTATCTGCAGGCAGGGCGTGAAGGACTTTCCGGCTCCAGTGTTTGAGCAAAATCTTTAATCAATCACTGGCTAATCACGAAACTATACAGGCAACTTCCTGGGATGTCAAAATAAAAAATTAAAATCTCAATGAAGAAACAGAACCAAACTTGTGAACAAAAGACCAACAGAAATTCTGGAGTTAAAAAGTACAGCAACTAAAACAAACAAATCACTCGATGGGCAAGCACAGCTTTGAGACAGCAGATGAATCGGAGAACTGAAGTAGCGGTCAGTAAGGCACGCTGAAAAGACAGCAAAGAAAGGGATCGAAGAAAAATGAACGGAGCAACCCAGATCTGAGGGGCACTGTCCAGCACACCGACACGTGCATGAGAGCCCCGCAAGGAGAAGGGAGGATGAAAAGGGGGAAAGAACACTAAAGCAGCAGGACCCCAAACTCCCCAAATGTCACTTTAAACAACCATTGATCCGGAGAATCCAGAAGCTCGACGGGCCCTGGGTAGGAGAGGCACCCAAAGGCTCCACGCGTGGACATGTCAAAGCTGGTGAAAGACAAAGACAGAAGGACCAGCGACGCCTCGCTTGAGCCCTGGGGCTGCGGCAACGGCCGTCGCTCGGCTGCACACTCCCCTCTGGACTTGCCCTGCACCGACAGCAGCAGGACGCCGAGGGCCGACGCGG